GGAGGGACAGCCTGCCATGGAAGGGGACATAATTGAATAGTGATTGGATACAACATCTGAGGATTAACCAAATTATGTCCCTTCGAGTTTAGATCGACAAACCCTTTTCTCTTAGACTTTAAAAACAAGCTAACTTGTTCAGAATATAGAAGAGCTGCCTTCTTAATATAGGAATATGCCAGCATGAGTTCTGGAAGTGATCAAGTACAAATCTGATGTGTACTTTGACCCAGACTCATGTTATTATTACTAGGATTATATGGACAAAGGGATAAGAGCTCATAGTTGTGGAACTCCTGTGTGTCAGGCACTGTGGAGTTTTACATACTTATCTTATAACCTACAAGGGAGGCATCGTTATCTCCATTATTCTGGTAAGAAAATGGAGTCTCAGAGGTATACTATGTTGTCTAAAACCATAGTCAGTAAATGATAGAGCTTTGATTTGGACCCAGGTCTCACTGTGCTTTTTATAAAATGGCATGCTGTCTTCCCACTTTAAGTGTCTCAGTTCATACTTCTCTTGACTTCCCCACAGCCTAACCACAGGGTCAGTTACATAGAAATAATAACTAATGTTTGTTGAGCACTTGTTATCGGTCAGTCACTGTTCTAAGTACTTTACATATATTAATAGCCATGTGAAGTAGATACTCTTGTTATCCCTGATAATTATGACATTGCAAAATGATGATTTTCTAATTTCATCCTTCCTTCTACATTTATTACTTGTCATTCTACAGTAAGGAAGAGATTCCCCTTCTCCATTTTGACTTACTAATTTATTTTCAATACAGACTCATGGAATCTTATTTTACTCAGTGGTTATAATCCATAGCTGTCATTATTCACAATGATGCTTAGATTGTCCCAGATTTTAAAACCAATGTACTTAAACTCTCTACCACGCCACCTTTTTATCAGATATTATTCCTCACTACCTTCAGTTAGTTTGCCCATCTATAATCACCCTTTTGTACCCTCTTTTGAGAACCTGAAAGACTCTGCATGAATTAAATATATGGGTTTTAAACATGGATTTTAGCTGCTTATAGGCCCTTTTCATTTCTCTTTGGGATCTTAATCCATATCTTGAATAAGGTACCTGTGACAGCGGTCCACTGCCTGCCAGGAGATACTTTTAGGGAAGGTGAGTAGACACAGGAGACTCACCTGACTGTGTTAGATCAGATGTTAAAGAACTTCAACTATGTGGGAGATGGATTCTGGTTCTCTGACTTACTGGTGAGGACTGTGTGTTTGTGTGTATGGATATTATTGAAATTCATTCATCCACTCAGCAAATAATTGAGCCAATAATTGAGTTGAAAGAAATGAAATTCAAACCAAATGGTACAGGGGAAACCATCAACACTGCTGGTTATAAATGTTAAAAAACTAACAAGAGGAAAACAAAAAGACTAGTGCTTTTTAACAGTTACAATATATTTTTTAAAATTCTTGCCATTTACATCTTCAAAAGCATTAACAGTATTGAAGGTCGCTAAGCAAAAGATTAACATATTCAGAGAAAAAAAACAGACAAAGGACATGAGTAAGGGTTTGTGAAAAACTCAACTGACTGCTAGACATATTTTTTTTTTAAGTCCGTCCTCACTAGAGGAGTTCTGGCTAAGATGGAGGTGTAGATAAATAGACTTTGCCTCCTCGCACAACCAAAAGAAAGTAACAACCAATTTAAAAACAAAAAACAACCAGAAATGCTAGAAAATCAAACTGTATGGAATTCTGACAACCAAGGAGTAAAAGAAGAAACATTCATCCAGATTGGTAGGAAGGGAGGAGATGGGTAGCCCAGGTGGAGAGGACACATGTCAAGGCGGTGGCTTGTGGACTGGGCAGTCCCACATTTGCATGCTGATAAACCAGGAGGAACAACTAGGGATTGAGACAGACCAAGAAACCCAGGGTTCCATTGTGGGCAAAATAAAGCCTCAGAACCTCTGGCTGTTAAAATCTGTGGGGGTTGTGGCAGCAGGAGAAACTGCAGGTCTCTTGCAAGTGGGACAAGAGCTAAGCAGGTGGCATTGTTCCCCCTCTGACCCCTTTCCTACATGCAGCACCACAGCACAGCAAAGTGGGTTGCCCCGCCCTAGTGAATACATAAGGCTCCTCCCCTTACAATGTAATAGGTGCACTGAGACAAAGAAATATGATCCAAATGAAAGAACAGATCAAAACTCCAGAAAAAGAACTAAGCAGTGAGGAGACAGCCAACCTATCAATGCAGAATTCAAAACACTGGTAATCAGGATGCTCACAGAATTGATTGAGTATGGCCACAAAATAAAGGAAGCAGTGAAGGCCATGCAAAAGATACAGGGAACCAACAGTGAAGGGAAGGAAACCGGCACTCATCAATGATTTGGAACAAAAGGAAGAAATAAACATTCATCTGGAACAGAATGAAGAAACAATTCCAAAAAATGAGGAGAGGCTTAGGAACCTTCAAGACAACTTTAAACATTCCAACATCTGCATCATAGGGGTCCCAGAAGAAAAAGAGGAAGAGCAAGAAATTGAAGTCTTATTTGAAAAAATAATGAAAGAAAACTTACCCAGTCTGGTGAAGGACATAGACATACAAGTACAGGAAGCTCAGAGAGTCCCAAATAAGAAGTTGGACTCAAAGAGGAACACACCAATGCACATCATAATTAAATTACCCAAGATTAAAGATAAGGAAAGAATCGTAAAAGCAGTAAGAAAGAAGGAGACAGTTACCTACAAAGGAGTTCCCGTAAGACTATCAGCTGATTTCTCAAAAGAAACTTTACAGACAAGAAGGGACTGGAAAGAAGTATTCCAAGTCACGAAAGGCAAAGACCTACATCCAAGACTATTCTATGCAGCAGAGCTATCATTTAGAATGGAAGGGCAGATAAAGTGCTTCCCAGATAAGGTCAAGTTAAAGGAGTTCATCATCACCAAGCCCTTATTATATGAAATGTTAAAGGGACTTATCTAAGGAAAGGAAGATGATCAAAAATATGAACAGTAAAATGACAAACCGAACTATCAACACTGAACCTAAAAAATAAAAACGAACTGAGCAAACAACTAGAACAGGAACAGAATCACAGAAATGAAGACCACGTGGAAGGTTATGCTCGGGGAGGAGGTAGGGGAAGAAGGGGGAAAAGGTACAGGGAATAAGAAGCATAATTCATAGGCACAAAATAGACGGGGATGTTAAGAATAGTATAGGAAAGGGAGGAGCCAAAGAACTTATATGTACAACCCATGGACATGAACTAAGGAGGTGGAATGCTGGAGGAAGCGGGGGTGCAGGGCAGAGGGGGATAAAGGGGAGGGAAAAAATGGGACAACTGTAAAGCATAATCAATAAAATATACTTTAAAATTTTCAAAAAATATAAGTCTGACCTCACTAGAAGTCAGAGAAATGCAATTTGAAACAGCAGTGTGATTTCATTTTCTGTTTTATCAGCTTAACACATTATGAAAAAGAAAACACTATTTTGGTGAAAGGAAAGCACAGCAGTTACTCTCCTTCATCCTTTGCTAGTGAGACTAAAAATTGGTACAATCTTTCTGGAAGGTAATTTAGTAATATTTATTAAAACTCTTAAAAATGCTTATACTTTTGACCTTGAACTTCATGTCCTAGGAATTTATGCAAAGGAAATAATCAGAGATACTGTGTTATTGAAATATTAAAAAATAATCTAATTGTTTTACAGTATAGGATTGGCTAAGTGAAGAGCAGTCTATAGTGGAATACTGTGCAGTCTTTAAAAATAATGTGATAGACAAATATTTAAAACATGGAAGGTGTGTGTGTATATATGTTTAGGTAGGGTTTATGTGTGATCCCATTTTGTAAAAAAAAAAAGAAAGAAAGAAAATATATATCCATTGGAAAAGATGGAAGGATGTTTTCTTCTTGATTATGTACATTTCTGAATTTCCTATAGTGAACACGAGCCCTTTTTAGGAAAAAAGAAAGCATTAGCAGGAATACTACGTAATAGAAGGGAAGCTAACATATACAGAACACTTCCTGGGTCAGGCACTATGCTCCATGCTTTATAAGTTTACTTAATATAACCTCTCAACAACCTGTGGAGGCTCCTGCCTCTGGTCCTACTCCCTCCAGTCCATTTTCACACAGGCACTGGAGTGATTCTCCCAAAAGCAAAGGCTTGGAAGAAAACACACCAAACTATAAATAGTGGTTACCATTGGAATTTAGATTAAGAAGATGGATATAAGGGGAGACTTTCATTTTTAATTTAATATTTCAATATAGTTTCATTTTTTTAAATATGTGCATCTTTTGAAGTAGGGAGGAAAAACATATGTTGTCATGTCACTGCCCCTTTAAGCCCTTCAGTGGCCTACCTCATCTCCCACTGGTCTCCCCTTACACTCTCTCCTCCAACTCTGCTTTCTTCAGGCGCAGCTACACTCTCTTCCCTCTAGGATTTATAAATGCATTGAGTCCTCCCACTTTACCATCCCAGATCTGGCTATTCAGCCTTCAAGTTTTCAGTACCTTAAATACCACTGGAAGGCCCTTCTTGATGTCCTCTCAGTTTCCCACTGAAAATGGTACTTCTTTCATCATAGTCTTTATCACACTTCACTGTAATTTCATGCTAAATTGTTGTCCTTTCCAGAAGACTGTAAACTCCATGAGGGCATAGACCCTGGCACCTGCAATACTGACTAGAGCATAGCACTGGATAAATAATTGTTGAATAAACACTTTGTCTTTTATAGTTGTGGAAACCAAGCCTTAGAGAGGTCTTAGATACTGTCCAGAGCCTCTCAGCCAGGAAGTTTCAGACCCAGCTTTTCTACTCCTGCCTTTGACTCTTGCAGAGTTAATGTTCTTTCCATGGTACCACCTATGAGTAGAGGCACATCCAGTCCTCAGACGTGCTTCAAAATTTGGGTGTCTACTTCTTGGGCCTCCCCTGCTTCTGACACCTCTGTCTTTCTGATTTCTTCAAGTGTGGTGCAGGTCCTGCTTGCTGCTGGTGCTGACCCAAACCTTGGGGATAATTTCAGCAGTGTTTACAAGACCGCCAAGGAGCAGGGAATCCATTCTTTGGAAGGTAAGTCCGGGCTACCCTGCTGTTCTGAGCACTCTACTCCCTGTGACTTCCAGGCAGCCTTGCTCTGTGCTAGCTCTACCAGCAACTCAGAGAGACCTACAAATCCCTTATCTCCCAGAGGACTCATGGAGCAGATGCCCTTCGCAGCCCTTTGGGCTTCTATAATTTATGTCACTTCAGAAGTCTTGGGGAATAGTCCTGGCTGGTGTGGCTCAGTGGATTGAGTGCTGGCCAATGAATCAAAAGGTCCCTGGTTTAATTTCCAGTCAGGGCACATGCCTGGGTTGTGGGTCAGGTCCTCAGTCGGAGGTGTGCGAGAGCCAACTGATGGATGTTTCTCTCGCACATTGGTGTTTCTCTCCCTTCCCTTCTTTCTAAAAATAAATAAATAAAATCTTTTTTTAAGAGGTCTTGGGGAATAAATTAGAGGCCTGACTTTATGAATGGGGTGAGAGTGAGGGGAACCTTCCTACTGGTGTTCTCGCAAAAGCACCTCAGCCTGTGGAGCCACAGATGAGAGGACAGTGGAGCAGGTTTCCATAAAATAATTAAGGCAACTGCATGGAATGTGGATTTGTTCCTTTTCTTCTTGCTGCAAACTTACCCTGTCCCATCTCTGCCCCAGAACTAGAAAGCAGCCTCACCGGTTTCCTCAACCTCAGAAATTCCTCAGCACTGCTCTGAATACTGCTTTTTTTCCTCTTCCTATATGTAAAATACAATCCTATCTCTGGGACTGGCCCTTCAACTCACGGTGTTACCCAGGACAAATAGTGGACCTTCTCTGTGCCTTGATGTCTATGCTTATAAAATGGGGTGGTCATCAGTGTCTCCCCAGGGTGTTGTGTAGGTGGTTGGTTGGGCTTCTCCAAAAGAAAGTGGTGGTGTGCACCTCTGCCAGGGCTTGGTCACATGTCTGTTAGAGGTTATCTGGGCAAGTCAGTCTGTGTTGCCTCTAGTGAGTAGTTCGTCAGAGTGGGGTTGAGGAAAAGGCAGGTTGCTTTGGCTGCAGACAGAAATGAGTATTTTACATTTGAGCTTTGCTTCTCTAGACTGGCCCCCTTCCTGCCCATTATCCTGGAACACTTGCAGAGGCTGAGATTCTTTTCTGTTTCTAGCAACAGAGCAGCCAAGCAGTGTCTGCTTTGGGGTTGGCAGTGAGGCCAGGGGGACCGACAACTATGCTGACCACCTGAGGGACAGAACATTGACCTGGAGGGAAGTTCAACCAAGGGGAGCAAGAGCTGTCAGGGAGGCTGCCAGACTGATGCAAGTGTGGTAGCCCAGCAGGTGGAGGTGTCATTGCTGCTCCAGCAAGTTTTCTCAAACTGGCAACGGGAGAGGAATGTCAAGAGCATCAGAGTGCTACTGCCCAAATGCAGTGTAAAGTTGCCCTTCCCCTCTTCGCTTCTCTACAGCCACTTCTTCTTTCAGGCTCCATTGCTGCAGCTGGTTCCTCCACAAAGCCTGTACTGTCCTTGGCAATAATTACAACATGCTTTCAGCTGCTGTTTTGAATATTCTGTAAATCTTGGCCTTTTTGTGGTTATTTGAACTCTCATCTGCCCACATCTTTTCTTTCCTCCTCAGCTGACAGGTCCATGTGCAGGCCATGACCTATGCCTCCTTGGAATTCCCACTGAACTGGAGGAATTATGTAACTTTATGTTTCAAACAGGAGAATTTCATGAGTACCAAACTTGCACTGTATTTGCAGTCTGATATGAGGAGACTCAGCTTATAAGCTGTCCTCTCCTCACTCACACACAGCTTTGCTGCTTGCCTCAGCTGTCTTCTGTTCAGATGCTCTTACCAAAAAGCAACGAGGAGCATTTGCTGAGAAGGCAGGGCCAAGAAGGGAAAGGGCTATTTGAGTGCCTTCTCACCTGTTCTCAGGATCCCAGCAGGACTCAGTAAGCATTTTTTATTTCATAGACTCTCAGAGCTGAGAAGCCATATAGTCCAACCTCTGCTGTTGCCCCACCTCCACCCCTGCATTCAAGTTTTGTACCCTTATGTTCTAATAATTCTGTCCAGGTTGATGCTTATAGTCAATATTCTAGATCACTGATCAGCAAACTTTTTCTGAAAACAGATAATTAGCATTTTAAGCTTTGTGAGCTCTTCAGTCTCAGTTGTGACTACTGGGCTTGGCCATTGTGGCGCAGAAGCAGTCGTAAACAATGCACAGTTGAATGTGCTTCCAGTAATACTTTGTTTACAAAAACAGATGACAGGCTGGATTTGACCCATAGTCTGTAGTGTACTTGTTCTAGATATTTTCTCCTTCACTTCTTCCCTTCATCCCTTCCTTCCCTCCCTTTCTCCCTTCTCTTTCTCCCTTCTCTCCCTTCCTCCCTTTCCTCTTTCCTTCCTCCCATTGGAATTGAAGATTAGCACATAAAGTACATGATGACAGGGATCTTGTATAACTCAACAGTGCCTAGAATAATGTGTGCTTCATTCCTTCCTTTTTTGGCCATCTCCTGAATCTTTCCAACTCTTATGTTGGCCTCATATGTTCTAGGTAAGTAAGTAAGTAAGTGTAGGTAGGTAAATAGACAACAAAAATATTAAGAGTCTCTGCTTATTTTGTATGGCCTACAAATTTAGTGAATAGACTTTCTATGGATTCATTTGTTTATTCAAAATTAATCAAAAAAATTCTTACTGATCACATGTCTAGCAGTTATTGTTGTGGACACTTGATTTAGACAGAATCCCTGCCATCATGTACTTTACATGCCAGTCTTTTTTCTTTCAAGATATTATTTATTTTTAGAGAGAAGGGAAAGGAGGAAGAAAGAAAGGGAGAAAAAATTGATGTGAGAGAGAAACATTGATTGGTTGCCTTGTACGCACCCCAACCAGGGACTGAACCCACAACCTAGGAATGCACCCTGACTGGGAATCAAACTGGCAACCTTTCAGTTTGCAGGACAATGCCCAAACCACCTGAGCCACAGCAGTCAGAGCACGTGCTAGTGTTTGATTAAAATGTTTATAAGGATTCTGTGAAAGTGTAGAGCTGCACAGCACATGATCAAGACGATTTTGAAGCATTATTTAACATTCACAACTGTAAATCTGCCAAACTTAATTCTTTTCTATCCTTCATTTCTTTATCATATCCACAAAATTTTAAGAGCTTTTCTCAGCTTTCTTGCTAAAATAAAACTATGTTTAGCATTTGTCATACTTTCTTGCCCAGGAACCCTTTCCCAAAAGGATGTTGGGTTATTCTGGCAAGGTCTGGTGTCCTCCCGAGGGAACCCACACTAGTGCCTAAGTATTTAAGAATTGTTCAAAAAAATTCTAGAAATTTTTGTCAGAAATCACTGATAAACTCATTGTTCTGTAGCTTGCAAGATCTTCCTCTCTCTGCAGTTCTTTAAAAGAATTCCAGACTTCCTTTGTGTACCACAGTTTTCTGGCAGCTCATCTGCTTTTCCCTGGTATATCAGTTTGGATGTGTTCTGCTCTCCAAATTCATAGGCTCTATGGCTAGAGAGTGCCAGTCCTTTAGTATCATCTCACTAGAGCTTTCTTCTCCCCTTAGCAGACTAAGCCTTCCGCTCCTTCTTAGCTATATTTTTCTTTTCTTTTTCCATTTATAGATATCCCATCAGTTGATCCATACAACCAATACTTATTGATTGCCTACTGCACTCACAGCACAGTACCCAGCTCTTGATCTTTCTCATGGATGAAGTAGACAGAAACAAGAGAATCCTGTTACTCTCTTTTCTTTGGATTGGACTGGCTTTTTCATGGGAAGTTATCTGATTTATGAGAATGTGTGAGGAGGGTAGAGTAGAACAAGAGGTGCAACTCTGCTGCCCAGAGTGTGTCTAGGCAAATTCATAGGAAAGTCACATGCTCAGTCAGGTTGGACAGTCCTTCATCTTTGGAGCATAGAGTCAGTACTGAAGTCCATCACATTTCTAATAGATATATTTGTGGGCCTCAGCCTGTGCTAAGTGCTGAAGGGAGATGGTTACGTTGTAGTTTGTGACCTTGGCAAAACTTCCCTAAAACCCAGTAATGTATATCCCTTGTCTACCTAGTTAGTATTGTGCAGATCAAGAGATAAAAGTATGTGATGTGTGAATTGTAAAGTGTTCTACAGTTGTAATTGCTTATTAGTTTTACTTATTTGTAATTCAGCATGCATTTACTGAGTATCAGGCACTGTGCCAGATGCTGGGAATACAAAAATGAATTTACATGGTCTAGCCCTTCATCAATGCTCCTAGTCAGGTAAGACAGATCTATGAACAAGGCACCACAGTGCAGAGTGGTAATGCAAAGGTAGGTGTACAAAGGGTGTACGTAACCCTGATATAGTTAGTGATAAGCTCTTCCTCACAATAGGCTGGTATCTGGAAAGTATCCCAAGATAAGTGACTTTGAATTGAATTTTAAAGATGACTCAGAAGTTACCAAGTAGACTAAGAGAGATGAACCTTCCAGGCAGAAGACGCAACCCATACAAAGACATGGGGTGGGTAGGTGACAGAAGGTAGCATTATCTGCCACAGTGCTGAGAAGAATAGCAAGAAATAAGAGTGGAGAGGGAATTGGGGTTCCACATGGGAAGGATTTTGTAAAGCAGTTCTAGGGAAATCACATTGTTTTCTGAAAACCATCAAAGGATTCTAAGTAGGATTATGCTCAGTTTACATTTGCATTTTAGATGGACCATTCTGACAAGACGGTAGATGAATTGGAGGAGAGAGATTAGCAGTGACTCTTGACCTTTAGGGGATGATGTGCTCCCTTTGAGAATTGGATGAGAAGCTATGTTTCTCTAACCCAAAATGCACCTATCATTTATGGTGATTTCTGAAGTGATCTTTGGGAATGGAGAAAATAGATGTTAGAAAAATAGTGGGCGGGGGGGCGGGGTTCAGTTCTCAGTAGACTGTACAAATTGATGGAAAAGGAAGCCCCCATGGAGACACCTCAATTTCCGATTTGGGTGAATAGTGTCTGCATGG